TTTTTTTTTTTTTGCAAAAGGGGGTGGGGGCAAAGGCTCTGGGAGGCTGAGCCGCTTGGCCAAGGGTGCAGAACTGAATTTGTCGGAGGAATGCTTCCTGACAAGGTGCTGTCTTCTTCACACTGAGCCGCACTGCCTCTGCCTGTGGCCCCAGAGAAGGTTCAACTGCCCCAGCTTGCAGTGCGTGGAGCCATTAGTCTTTCCTCACGCTCTTCCCTGTCCTTTTTGATGACTGCCTCCTTGGCACCTGAGGCCTTACCCGTGGGCCTTGGAGACAGTCTCGATGTGCATCTCCATTCCCTTGCTCGTTCTTTGCCCCAGAGCTGTTTCCTGGGCTCTGGGTTATAGGCCCCGTGTGAAGTCAGGTGGAGGTGGGTATGCGGGTCCTGGCCAGCTGTGGCTGGTGGTCTGGTGCGGGATGAGAGGGCTTGGGGACCTGTTTGGGGTGTGGCCTGGGAGGAAGTGGCCCTCCTCTAGCATCTGCTTGTCTTCTGCCTTGCCAGGGCTTCTGGCGTTGAGGCTGTCTTGGTTTTAGGGCTTGGGAGCTCCCGGGGTCCCAAGGGCCCTGAGCAGCTGGACCACAGGGCCTGGGGAGCTCTTCAGAGTCCCTCCGTGGGGCCTGCTTTTGCTTCCCACCTTCTGCCCTGATGCCGACTTCACATCTATGTTCTTCTACATCTGGTCCCTGTTAATTAGCCGGTACCAGGTTGTGCCAGCGTGTTTTGGTTCAGTTTCAATACCTGAAAATCTCCTGCTTCAGTGGTTTTTGTCCTTTTGTGGTTTCTGTCCCTGGCACTGGGCTGTTTGCTTAAGTGTTTTTAGTGCCTGTTTAATTAGTAGCTGGAATGGAGTTATTAAATTCCCAGTAACCGGTTAGGAAGAGGCAGTCCACCATAGGGATGCGAAAGGGCTGCTGCCCTTACTTTGTTTTGTCCCTTTTCTGATCAGGAAGCATCAAACCTCTCTCTTCAAATTAATATGGAAAACCCCAATGTAAACGTGTTTCACACAGGTTAATTGCATGCCGGCAAACGTGCTTGAAGTCGTTTACAGAAGGGTGTGATTTCATGGAAGAGAAAACCGCACAGCTTGTGTGCTTGTGTACAACCCGGTGTTCCAAACGGCGCTGTCCACTGGGGCATCCACCCAGGGCTCCCCACGATCATGTCAGCGTGGGAGGAATAAATGCGGGGCCTTCTTCTCGGGAGTCTGCTGCTGTCACATGGACTCTGGGTCCAGGTCAGCCTGGGGAGCAAAGCATCTTCATGAGAAATCCCCTCTGAAGGATATGCTGGGGGGCTGGGGTCTTGACCCTGGGCTGGGGTCCTGGCCTGTAGTGTGTCTGGCTGGTGGCCTTGAACATGTCGCTGGTGTCTTGGAGCCTCAGCTTCCCTTTCTGGAAGAGATACATATTACATGTGTACATGTGTAACATCTGTCTGTCTGTCTATTAGATCTGTCTGTCTTGTGGCTTTGGGGATTCATCCCAGGTCCTTTGCACTGAGGTGCATCTCCAGCCTTATTTTTTAAAAGAAATTTATTTTGCTTTTGGTAATGGGTGTCAAACTTGGGACCTTGTGCTTGCAAGGCAAGCACTGGAACCACCGAGCTAAATCCCCAGCCCTTAAGTTTTTATTTTGAAACAAGTTCTTACTAAATTGCTGAGTTGCCCAGCTTGGGCTCAGAATTGTAATTCTCCTGCCTCAGCCTTCTGGAGCCCTGGGATTACAGGCATGCACTGCTGAGTTTGGCTTATGTGTGAGATTGAAAAACAAGGCTCCTTGATGCTCTCTGAAACAGATCAGTGTGGGGCTGCCAGGGTGGAGCGGGCAGGGGCTAATGGGGGTCCCAAGGCAGGGCTAGGGTATGCAGAGGACAGCTGAGAACCACTGCACTCCCCTTGCCCCTGCCTGTCTGTGTTTTGAGGCCTCTGTGATCGGAAAGGGGTCATCTGTGTTTGATGACAGATAGATGGCCAGGGGATGTAGCCTTTAGCTGTGTGGCCTTGGACAAGCCATTTTTCCCCTCACTCCCTCTATTGTCCCATCTGTAAAATGGGGCAATGATCGGACATGCTCTGAATGGTCTCCCTGGGGGTCGCATGATGTCACACAGGCTAGGGGCTGAGCACAATGCCCCCCGAGAAGCAGGAGCGGGTGTCGCTACACTAGCGCTGTGTGTCTGGCGCTGCTGAGTGTCTTCTTTGAGCTGCTTCTGGGTCCCAGGCATAGAGGTGGTGAGTCCCTTGGGTGCCCGAGATCAGCACTAGGGTCAGGAGGTGCGGGGGTGGGAGGGGGACCTGAGGCTCCTTGCTGAACCTTGCAGAGCTTCGCGGAGCTCCTCAGCCACAGTGAAACCCAAGGTCTCACACAAGAACACACAGTATCCCGGCCTGGGGAAGTCAAAGTGTTTGGATTTAATAGAGGGAGTCAGTTGCAGTCATTAGTATATACTGAAATCACAGGGCAATCTTGTAAAGTTAAATTCAATTTACTTTTCTACTGAAATTGTGCTTGCTGTGTTATTTAACTAGTCTGGGGTTTCTTGGCATGGGTTAAAGGGACAATAAAGATAAAAGAATACCTGTAAGTAAATAGGAGGGTTTAACAGTAGAATCTATCGTTTTCTCCTCCTTCAATTATATCCCAGTGTTCACTCTGTGTTGGTTTTATAGCCGGCGCTGTCCAATGAGATGCCATGGATTAGACCACCCTCGCTGTGAGGCTTGATACAATTAATACAGTCTGTCTGGAAAGTGGCCTTATTTCTGGAAGTTTTATGTTAATGATATGGTCTGTGCTTTGCACATTTCATACCAGAACAAGAAGCGGGCTGTAGTTTCTTTCTGGACTGGGTTTGATTAGCGGCGGAGGATCAGTGGGCAGGAAAACGGCGCTGCGGACAGCGATGGCAGCCCCTCCGGTCGCGATGCGCCACCTTCTGGGGCAGGGCGTGCCAGAGTTGCCTGGGGGCATCAGAGCCTCGGGGGAGACTCTGGAGGGAGGGGTGAGTATGGGGGTGAAGAAGAAAGAGCTGTATGGATGGACACCTTTGGGGCAAGGTGGGGGACATACTCCTGGGGTCCCCTTCTTGTTAGTGACTGTCTGGGCTCATCGGGCCCATGTCAGTGGCTCACTGCAGTGAAAGAGCTTTCATGGGAACTACTACAAATTCAGGGTCATCTGTACTCTTGCAGTATCTACATTACCAGAAGGGCTGGTGGTCCCAGTGCCTAGGACCCAGCATTTACGGAACAATCAGTGATCCCTGAAGGCCAGCTTCTGGATTCTGTGTTGGCCTCTGCTGCCCGTGACCCACATGCCCCCTCCTGTGGCTGGAGGAA